GGGTGTATGGGGAGGGAGAGGTGTGTCAGTGGAGGGAGGGTGTGTCTGGGGTTGGAGGGGGAGGGAAGGGTTTGTAGGGGGATGGAGGGCGGGTGTGTCTGGGGATGGAGGGGGAGGGAGGGGTTTGTAGGGGGATGGAGGGAAGGTGTGTCGGGTTGGAGGGAGGGGTTTGTAGGGGGATGGAGAGAGGGTGTGTCTGGGGTTGGAGGGGGGAGGAAGGAGAGTGTCTGGGGTTGGAGGGGGGTTTGTATGGGAATGGAGGGGATAGGGAGGGGTGTATCTGGGGTTGGAGGGGGGAGGGAGGGGGTTGTATAGGGATGGAGGGAGGGGAGTGTCTGGGGTTGGAGGGGGAGGAAGGAGAGTGTCTGGGGATGGAGGGGGGTTGTATGGGAATGGAGGGGATAGGGAGGGGTGTGTCTGGGGATGGAGGAGGGAGGGAGGAGGGAGGGGTGTGTCTGGGGATGGAGGAGGGAGGGAGGGGTGTGTCAGGGCACCCTCCCCCCCCAGACTCTGAATCCCCCCACTCCAAATCTGCCCCCCTCCAGTTCTGAACATGACCCCCCTGCTAGCAGCCTCTGCCCCCCGACTCCAAAGACATCCCCCCCAACCCCACATCAGCCCTGAACTGATCAGCGTCCTACCCATCAGTGTTGGTCACTGGGGGGACCCCAGTACCCCCCAGCAAAAATACCCCCAAGACACTGAGAAAGAGGCGGAAAAGCCAGGCGGGGAAGGCAAGTGGGATGGAGGGAAGGGTCAGGGGTCAGGATGTCGGGAGGGAGATGGTGGGGGGGTGAGGCTGCAGATGGAGGGATAGTGAGGAAGAGGGAGGCGGAGGGATGAAGGAGGGAGGGACAGAGAGGCTGGAGGGAGGGGGCTGACAGGGATGGAGAGGTGAGAATGGAGGGGGATGGGGATGGAGGGATGTTGGGGGAGAAGGAGGAGGATGGAGAGTTGGGGGGGTGGGAAGGGGATGGGGATGGAAGGATCAGGATAGAGGGGAAGGACGGATGATGGGGGGATGGGGCAGATGGGGAAGGGGAGAATGGCGGGGGAGAGGGGAGGGGGATGGTGGAGGAGGGACGGGGAGAGGGATAAGGATGGAAGGATCTGGACAGAGGGGAAGGAAGGATGATGGGGGGCTCAGGAAGGAGGGGAAGGGGGACTGATGGGGGAGGGGGAAGGAGAAGGATGAGGGCGGGGGATGGAGGAGGATGAGGGCCTGAGGATGGGGGGATGGAGGATGATGGAGGGATGGAGGGAGGAGGGGGACGAGGGGATGGGGGGCTGAGGAAGGGGGAGGGG